GATCCGAACCGTGAGATTTGTGATCCGTTGAACCACTACTATCTACACAGCTCACTTTTTATTTTAGATAATTAGACAATGTTGTGGCATCATGGAAGCCAGCTTGCACTTTTAGGACAGGGGTTGCCAGTCACTCGAACCCCGTAGACATAAAAAATTTATTTGAAGTTAATATTTAAAATAAAATAAAGACATATTCCATATTTACACATCAAATCGTTTAGTAAGTATTGTTTTGTTTTTATTTAAAAATTACATGCACACACACACACATATACACATATAGAACAAAGACTCTATTGCTAACGAAAATAGTTACGGAAGTTCACATTTGGGTTCACTATTTACAACCAACTAATGTTTTTAACATGTCAAATCCTCAAGCTTTTATTTTGGTGAAGAATTAAATGCTGTAAACTTCTGTCCAGGAAAAGTTGGAAATTATGCAAATGTTAATAAAAATAAAGTGTAGGCTATCTAGCGCACATCGCATTCCAAAATGCATGTTAAAGTCACAGAACTTGCCGAGATGGAGTTTGTGAGAAGCAGAATTTAATTTGATAAATCGCAAATTAATAAAATAAATTGCTATTTTATTTTGATTAATTGCATAGTCTCATTTGCTTATTTTAATGTCACATTTGTTTTAATCAATTATTAGCTTTTTATCAACTCACAAACCCCCGTTTGGGAACCTTGCTTTAGGACATTCCTTCATTCACAAAATGACTGGGCAGCTGCTGTAAGTTTTATATCCAGACTACATATCTACACTTGTTCCATTCCAAAGTGGAAACTGTTTGTCTAAAAATACTGACATTTTCCCCTAGGTTCAAAACATATACATTACGCAGGCGGGTGACTGTTTGGAAAAGTCGTACCCCTGCAATTTACATTGACGCACTGACATCCACACACACAGCTGGAGTGAGTGATGCTTGACCTATGAGGTAACCGATGCCCTGCTTGCAGAAGAGGGTGCGGCAGCCCAGGTCTATTAATTGAAGAATGAGAGAGCAGTTTTGTGAGATCAGACAGACGGAGCTGACTCACACCCTCATCTGACATAACATGTAAAACAAACAGCTTAAGCTAAGCATACTTTTACAATGATATATCTTGACTGCTTTGTTTTTTCACTGCTTCCCAAGCTGGGCGATATACTGGATTCTCACAATATACTCACAATGATTTTTAATGCCAGTAAAAATTATGCAGCACTATGAATATCACAAAGCTGTAATTACCTTTTTACAGGGCCATTTTAGTCTAATTTAATTTTGATTATATCTCTTGCGCCTGTGTTAAGACAGAGGATTTAATAGTCTCTCTGATTTTAACTTTAGTAGCAAAAAAAAACAAGAGTTCAGTTCAAACGGTTTCAAACAATCAATTCAAAACTCAACAGATTCAACAATTGTTTTGCATCACCTAAAAATGTCTCCATGTTTCATATGTCAAATGTCTTATGCCTGTTTTTCATATTATTATTCAAATGTTTTGGTGCAAAATAAACAGAAGTAAATGTTTATTGTTATATTGGTGGATATAAATGAAAATGATAAATGAAATATCCATCTTCTTTGGGAAAAAAGCAGGGCTCTCATTTCTGTGCCTGAAAACTAATGTTAGTCCTTACTTTATTTGTAGCTTTGTTATATTTTATCTGTGCTTGAAATGTTTATTTGTTCTTATTTTATTACTGATGGTTCACTTGCCTTTAATAAATATTTGCCCTTTATTAGTTATGCTACTAGTTTTTGCTGTGGTATCGAAAAAGTAGCCTACCTAGTGTCCTTTATATAATACAAAAAAAAATCTGATCTGTGACTCAAAATCCTTAATATGATTCCAAGCCATGAGTTTTGTGATCCACTGCACTCCTACTCACTTGATATTTGAAGAAAAAAAATATAATCACATAAGTTTTTGCTGATTTGTCCATAGTAAAGTTTAGCTGATGTCTTTTTAATTCAGACTAGTTTTATTTATTTTGGGCTACCAAAATCTGAAGAATGCCTGCCCGAAGTGCTACCAGGGATTTTGTAATTTTGCAAGGTCTGAACATCATGGAAACTATGCCAAGATTATTTGTAACTAGACTTTTACTGTGTTTTAGTTACATTAAATAAGTATTGTTACTGTTAAGTACTAAAGTAGTAATAATACAATAAAATTAAAACAAATAATATTAAATAATATAAAATTAAATATATCATTAAATAAAACTTTCACATCTAAGTGAAAACTGTAAGCACCGTTATAGAAATATATGCAAAAACACTAAAATAATACTGCAGTAAAAATATTGAATCTCAAAATGTTTTAGAAAATATTAAATCAAATACAAAAATGAAAACTGAAAAAAAAATTTAGATTTTCTTTTAGCAATATTACTCCAACCTAGCAACAAAAAAAGGTTTAGAAAGACAGAAACCCACATGATTTTATATATGTGTGTGTGTATCAGGGGTGTAACGGTTCACAAAATTCACGGTTCGGTTCGATACAACAGTGGTGTCACGGTTCGATACGTTTTCTATACGGGAGGTGGGGTAATTGGTTACATCGCAATGTTGGAAATATTTCTGTTTTAAACCATGAAGGTGAGCCAATGGACATCACATAAGCAACGTGCAAACTTTGCGCAAGAGTTATGCCAGTGAACGTCTTAATCTCAGTCAATTCGCTATGCAGAAAGTGAAAGTAAAAACAGAATGACGGAGTAATGACGGAGCTTTCGGCATCTGACGCGGCATATTCTCTCAAAGACGACAAGTCTCTACTTTGAATCTAGGGTTGGGCGATGTCTACAAAACTGGCTGAGACAGATGACCGAGGACGATGGCGAATGATTTGCAGATCCTGAGCACCACTGACAAACATATAATCTTGTAAAATGTGTGGTAAGTACTGCCTCTCCATAGTATAAACAGAGTACGTGCGATTGCGAATCTCGGAAGTGAAACTAAAAAGTGATCATGCATTCAAAAGCAGTTTTTATGGCAGGCATAATAGCGGCTCCCTGATGTCCGCAATTTATATACAGTACAATTACCCAATTATATATCTTGCGAAAGAAAGTAGGCTTTTGAAATATATATTTTCCTCCCAACTCGTATTTATTCCCTTTAGGGGTTCCGTAGTACACATGACACGTAGAACGAACATGGTATTTGGATTGCGGGGGGGTTGGGGGCCACGATGCCGGCTCAACATCGTGATGTCTATCAGCCATTGGCGATGGACGATAGCATCGTCTATCGGCCCAACCCTATTTGAATCTACTTCAACATATGCTGCTAACGTTATATAATTGTTTTAATTTATTCACTTAATATTTCTCTTGTGGCCCGTACATAGTGGAAAAAAATAAGAAACGTATTTCGTAAACAGGGGCCAGTTGCATAAACTTAGTCACCATGTTAAGACTGTGTCTTAAGAACTAGTTTGACCAACTAGCAGTT